CCCTCCGCGGTGCCAGTGGCACGGATCTCCGCGGTGCCAGTGGCACGGATCTCCGCGGTGCCAGTGGCACGGATCTCCGCGGTGCCAGTGGCACGGATCTCTGCGGTGCCAGTCCACCACGCCACAGGGTCTCCTCTCAGGCCTCACTTATGCTGAGCCAACACATTTCCCAGAGACACTAAGTGACACACACACACACACACACAGTGAGGTGGGCAACTGACAGCCCTCAGGACACATTGTTCATGCATAAATAACAACAAGGCACCTCCTGGGACTCGACCCAGTAATTCTCAGGAAACAGGTCTGTTTTGAATGTGATCACTGGCCACAAAGTCACCACACCAGGCAGCAGGGGACCCCGAAGTGCCCCGGAAACAACAAACCCGTCCATGTGTATGATTACTAAGGTTCTTGAGATATGGGGTGACACCATTACATCCCATAAAAAGTCATATAATTCACACTGCACTTAACTTTAGCCTTGGCTTCAAATGCCTGGTGGGGATGGATCACTGTACACTTGGGTGTGGTAATGAATCTGATTTAATCCAGTTTTCAGTTTTGTTTGGACTGTAAACAGGGAACGTTGCTTTGTATAAATAAGTCAGGTAAGCAAAAAAAAAAGTTAAAAACACATCAATGCTCAAAGTTAATATGGAAATAAGTAGCTGTCAGGATAACAGCAGATGCGAGACAGAGGGACTAAGTCGTGTGATGAGGGCGGCCATTTTATTTGTCTTTTCACTGCAGGATGCTTTCAGCTCAGACCTCTGTGGTGAGAAAAAATCTCTGATCTAATAGTCCCCTGGGAAGAGGAGTGGGTCACGTTTGGCCTTGAACCCGGTGGCCGGCCGTGCATGTGGGAGCGCTGAGAGTTTTGGGGGATTGACATCCTGAGTCATGCATTGACAGGCACTACCACAAACACACACACTGAGAGCCAAACACCCAGCACTCAGTCAAGGGCTTCCTGTCAAAGTAAACTTCATTTTGATCATCAATATTTCATATTAGCAAACAGAAACACATGAACCCACCCCCAATGGAAACTCCATCTGAAACTAATAGATCTTATCACGTGGACTCAGATAGCTAGGCCTATGTTTTGGACAGCTGTGCAAGTCAGAATATTATAGGCTACTAGCAGATTGCTTAGTTTGTATTAGAAAGAATATAGTGCCTGTCTTGTCGACTATTTTCAACTACAGAAATTATTTAAATAAACAGTAAGCGGTGTAATTTCCAGTTACTGGGATTTTTTAATACCTACATGGCATTTTACGTTGGAAACGAAAGGTTAACGAGGCGTTCACTGTTTCAGATGGGACAGCAGCCACAGGAGCCGGTTTCGGAGTCCTGGAGAGGATGGACGTGAGCTCCGATGTCTGCTCTCCGGGGGGCAGAAGACCGCCCCGGCGGCACTTAATCACAGGCGTTAACACACCCGCGGAAACGCCGAATTGAAAATAATAATTATGCTGGAGGGGGGAAAACAGTTAATCTATCTACGCTTACAAAATATATTGTAGGATATTACGCTCATTAAACTTTCCGAAGCGTGAACTTCCTTACCTACAGCATGTCCTTAAAAGGTAACCTTGCGTAATGATCGTTGTAATATAAAAACGTTTATATATTTATTTAGAGACAGCATACGTGCTGATTTGGGTTTTGGCGATAAAATGTGACTTCGATTACCATTCGCCGTGTTTACACTTTACCTTTGTAAATTCGAATAGAATTCAGATTCAATGGCCTGTTTGTCAAACCTATTGGGTGTGACAACATGAAAGCGGTCTTATAATGAATATCTCCAAACAAATGTCCTGGTATAAGACAGACCAGGCCTGCCATCAATGGTCTGCGACAAAGGGGCGCACACTGAGTTAATGGGGGCGCTGCTTCTGTAATAAAATGGAAATGCACCAAATTGGCGCATCGGAAACTGTACCTCCACATGCTCTTGTTTTAGACGAAAAATAAACATCTTGTCTAGGATGTACGGCAGCCTCATAGCCTTCCCTGTTCTGCTGGGCATAGGGTACCGGGCCGGCGCAACCCTGACCAGGAATAGCGGTAAACTTAACGCTTACTATCTAAGTTTTATTTATTGATATTAAATTATCGGTTGGCATGTCGCCTAGACTAATTTTCACAAGGAGTGGTAACTGTCGGGTTGTTTTGGTTTGTTTTCCTAGCTGAAAGGGGTTATAGTTGTGGCGGTTATTGAGTTTAAATATCTGACATTCTCCACTGTTTGCCATCCGTAAACGGTAAACCAGGAAAAGCAAGTCGAGTTAGTGGCTGGCATGTCAGCCGAAAAGTGCATCATCAATCAGTCAGACTGAAGTCGGTTCACTTCTGTTGAATTTAGATGCGAAATAGATAGTTTACTGTACAACGCGATAGGGGATTGGTGTCGTTTACGTAAACCAAAGATATTTTACAAATGTCGAATATTCAAAAAGTGCAACCGATATTATTTTCGACAATTAGATCACGTGCAAGTTTAGAAACTTCGGCAAACTGCATTCCTTCGAGGCCTTATTTCTCAATACTTGTGTATTCGCCGATATAGCAAATTCACTACATTGATTATAACTAGTCGTACGTCGGAATACCCTACGCTGGCACCCCATCCCGTTTGCCTCGCTATTTGCACCAAACGGCACCGCGACTTCGCAGACCTATTCATTCCTGCCACTGAAAGTGCTGGTAAGTTACAAAAAACATACGAATCTGTAAATACAGAATGCATGTTTAGCTGCGTTGTAGTAAACGCGATAATAATTAATTTAGTGAAGAATGCATCCGTTAAAAATTTTGTTCCAACAGCCAGAGGAGGGATTATCTGTAAAACATCTGGACACAAATGATGTGGTTCTGCCTGTTTAATCGGTTTTAAAAGTAAATTATGTTCACGTGCCGCCAAACAGCCTTTGGCACAAACCGAGGGACCGAGGCGCACAGACCGACTCGGGACATGTACGCACCTGGTTTATTATTATTAGTATTATCAATAATAATAATAGGCATAATAATAAACTTAGTCAGCCGTAAATGCGGCACAGTGACGGGACAACACAAAACATCTTACAGCAAATTGCAGAGTGTGATTATCTTAATGGCGTCCTAATGACTAATGAAAGGCTTGGTCATCCGGCACTTTTGGGGGCTATATATAGGGGCTGTATGTGCTGTGCGTTAAGGTAATTAAAGTGCTCAGACTGCAGGAAGGGGGCTGCTTCTGACCGGGGACAGGCACGTCGGGTGCCTGCCTTCCCATCGAACCGCTTGTCTTTATGGTGAAGTTGATTCTTTGGTATAAAAAACAAAAATCAACTACCTAACCGAAATGTTCCTGCGAATCAGTCGGTAATTACATAAGATGTTTGTATTTGGGGAAATTAATCGGCCCATCCCAAGGAGACTTTCTGGTTTATCTTAATTAAAATGAATATGAAGTGCCAGGACTCGTTCGTCACTCGGGTTTTTGTGTATTCTTTGCTACTTTCTTCAGGTAGATCGACCCATCGCCACAGTAAGGTGAACTAGATTGAATTCCGTTGATGGACGCAAATCATCAGTTTATGGACGATCGCCGCTGTTTTTTTCCGCATTTACGCCAGTCGACCGGATTCGGAATAGAAGCGCATCGGCCTTCCGGAACCCCCCTGCGGCAGCCCCGGTGCTCGTCCTGTCACTGAGGCTCAGAGGTTCAGTCCGGAGAAGGAGGACCGGATCTCCGAGCAGACAGGCTGGGGGCTGGGGCCAAACACGGCGAGGAGGCGAGGCTGCTTACAGCGGCCAGCTCCGACGGGGAAGTACCACAGTGCGGAGCTGTGAGCGCCGATCACCGCCGCTAGTCCGCACAGTCTCAGCCGCGGCGGGGACTCGCTGACGATCCGAGCGGTCCGGACTCCAGCAGCAACTTTCCACGGCATCGGCCTCCGCTTTCAATACAGTAACTTTATATGCGAACGGCGTCGGTTTTGGAAACTATCTGGTCCCGGATCTGTTTGGCGCAGAACAGTTTGTATGGTAAGTTTTTTGTACTCTTGGACCGAGCATTTGCCGGTTTATAGGTTGGCCAGGTCGACATAACGCAGTACCAATACTCATTAGTTGTTCCTGCATATATTTTTTTTACGTGGAATTGTAGTGATAACTCGCTGGACTATTTGTTTTTTCAAATAGTGGCATATTGAACTAAGTGATATAAGTTGATCATTTGTCAGGTGATCTCTGTCGCTTTAATACAACCAAGCTGAAGATGTCATACCATGCATATGTAAGAAGCTGTAGCACATTTTAATTATGTTTAATATCTCCAGTAACAAGACATGCTTTTACTTGTAAAGGGCATCGCGCTTACACGGAGCACCGTTTCCCCTGAATAATTTCTTCCCTCGCCTATTGGATCGAAAGGCGTTTAAAATGAGGTGACAGCTCCGTTTGCTGCGCAAGAAAAGTTTGACAAAGTAGGAAAAAAGTAAAACGAGGCACTGCGGTAGGATGGAGCGTGAAGGAGGTCCCGAGGGGCCGAGTCCCTCAAGTTTGGCTTCTTGTCCGATGCCCCTACTTAACCCCCACCCCAGCGTAATTTTGCTTTCAGAGCCGCAGGGAGTAAATGCTTTGCTTATGAGTGAAAAACCGCATCATGTCAGTTTATGAGCCTGGCTGCGTAGGGTGGGGGCTGTGATCTCTTTGCGGGCGCTTGTGTGAATGGCCCGCTGTGTAAGCCGGGTCGGCGCCCATGTGCATGACTTTCTGTTTGACCACCGTCGAAAAACCTGCTTCGGCGCAAAAATCTATGTCCTCCGACCCCCTCAGCGGTGTCTGGGAATGCGTTTCCTCCCGGGGCAGCTGGGGGGCGTTTCTTCTTCACCCCCAGCAAATGGAGGGGCAAACCGCAGGAGGTCTGGGAATCACTGCTGGAACACTGGCTCACATCCCGAGATGACACTTGATATTGTGAACAAACATTTCTATGAGCAGTTTGAGTCTTGGTGCTGTCCCCAGTCGTCTGAAAGGTTAGACCCCCAGATGCCAAATTGTAATACCGCTGGTTTTAGTCCCAGGAGGGACAAGCTGTTTGTGCCCTTGACCAAGGTTAACCTGAACGGCCTCAGTAGATATATTCAGTGGTGTGTGTGTGTGCGATTTGCTGTTTTCTTTAAATCGACTATTATCCTCAACGTGAAATGCAAGGTGGAGGTGAACAGTGTGGTTGTTAACTTCCATTGTAATCGAGTGACTGTTGACAGGCTTTTAGCACCGGCAGGTAATTAGCTCCTGTAATTGGATGGGGGGGG